GACGTTTGCAATGTCTCCCAGGCAGATTCTGGTATCTAATAAGATACCTTACAGTGAATACGATACCTTACAGGTGACCTTACAGTGCAGCCCCCATAGTGGGACTATCAGAGTGTCTTCTCTGACCACCCATGATTACAAAGCCTATAGAAATATAGGATTCTGCCAGTCCCTTTGGGTAATACAACTAACACTCCCTGAATTCTCCTTGAGACTGACACGTTCTAGAGAAATTTGTTTGAAATTTGCAAATGGTTCAAAAGCGATCAGAGGGCCAAAGACAGCAGCATCTCATAGGCCCTGTCTTGTTTGCAAATCCAATGAAAATCATCTCCAGGGAATAAATATAATTATCACTGCAGCCCAGAGAACGCTCACAACTTAAGCTGGACCTGACACAAAGAAATAGACAAATAATGGAGAGGGAAGGAAGAAGGCAACATCGCCTCTCTTAGATATGCAAAAATATCCTGCTAAACCCCAGGGAGTCACAAAACTGACTTTGTAAAGGCATGATTAAAGACAAAACAAACGCTGGGAGTTCTTTTTCTTTGCCTTTCAACTTCAGCAATTATAGAAACTTAACCTGAAGCACACTCCATCTGCAACCAGTTGAGCTACATGACTGTTTATATCCTTAATTTGAGCGGAAAGCTGAGATATTCATACACTTGTGCACTTCTAGAAACTGAGGATTCGTGGAGGGAAAGTAAGATTCTTCATGACTTACACGTCTGATGAAACAGCGGGACACTGGGATGGGGAGAAGTACCAGTGCAGCAACAACTCGCAGCTGTTTAGGTCAGGAGAGGGTGTGTTTATTGCACAGCTATTTCCTTGGGTGCCCTCGTGTCCTCTCCCTCCTGCACTCCTTGCCGGGGAATTGCCAGATGTGGGTTTTCTGGAGGGTTCACTTCCAGCCGATTACACGCTGTAGATAGGGGACATGCACAACACTGCCCTGGCAGATGCTGCTGTGCTCATCCCAGGCCCCTTGCACACACTGACAGCAGCACTGGCTGCTGGAAACCTCTTTTGGAGATCTGAGAAACTCCTCAGGGCGAGATGGAGACTGAGTTGTTACAGTTGGATGAGGACACGACAACAGCACGGTTGTTTCTGTCTCTGCTCGGTAACACAAATTTCCTGGGGTGAATAACAGAACCATGGAAGTAACACCCGCGGCCACTTGTACCTGGGAGAGCGTTACCTCTCTGTCCACGTCTGCCTACAACATACAAACAACCCAAAATGCCACCCCAAATACAACAGACCAAATCACTATCCCACTCTCAGATGCGTCAAGACAGTACTTTAAGTAAAAAGTGAGTTTCGCCTCTGCAAACAAAGGTTAAATTTCTCTTTGGTCCTGTGCCACCCCCCGGCAGTCTCCCCGATCATTCTGAGTAAGCAGGGTCTGCGTCACGGCTCTGTGCAACAGCTACATGGTTACTTCTACACTCACAACTCCATGTAACAAAAGGCATTTAATTTATTTTTCCTAGCATTTGATCTTTTTTCCCTCTTTGGAGCGTGCACTCCCAGGATGTTTCGCTGTGCCCATGGCCATGAAAACGTGACACTCACCATGGGGGATGAGGGTGAGGGAGGGAAAGGAGTATGCTGAAATTCTGAGAAAATAATGGGATTCCAGGAAGGAGAGATTTTAAGGAGAGAGCTAACTGCACAGGTGATGCAGATGAGAAGCAGGTACTATGATTCACACAGTTCAGCATGCTGGGCTCAAATGGCAGAGATGTGGCTGGGAACAGTGGAGTGATTTCAGGCAACAGGAGCCAGGAGGGAAGCAGTATGCCTTCCCCCAGCATTTGTTCAAACGGTTTCATCCCCGCCACTCAAAAGAGTGCACAAATGCCTTATATTCAACCAAAAATATATCCATAAGCAGTGCACTTGTAGAGGTATAAAGGTAACTGATTAGGTGCTTTATGGGATGAGCATGTTAGTGCCCTGGCTTTATTGGCTGTTAGTAGTTCAGCTCGGTTAGGATCCTGCACTCTTCTGATTATGCAGATACAATCTATCACATTGTTCCGGAAACTTGGGTAGAGCTGTGCTCGGAGAGACGGCTGCAGCTGCAGCAGGCTGGGAGAGACACACATCATTGCTCTCTTTTATGAGAAGGAAAATTGGCTGTTGCTGCTCCTGCAAAAAGCAGCTGTTATTTGTTGTTTTCGGGGTGGTTGTTGGTTTTGGGTTTCTTATTTTGAACTATTATGATGAGTTTGCCTCCTCTTCCCACTTAACCAAATTACAGAGTGTTTATGTTTCCATCCTCTCATGGAGATGTACGAAGCTGGCACGCCTGCTTACAGCCAAGCAGAGGTCTGCTTGCCTCTCCTCGGGCAGAGGCACACCTTTGGCAGGATGGAGGAGCCTGCAGAGAAGAGGGGGAGCCCTGGCCACCTGCCTGAGCTGCACCAACCACCTGCTGTCAGCTTTCTCCTTCTGTACCACCAGCAAGAACCGCGAATTTCTGTGCCTGGATTCAGAGGACCCAACCCAATCCTTGCAGGAGGACCGTGGTGGTGGCTTCATCACCGATTAAGTATCAGAGCTGGCATCCACCAGGTCCTTTGCCACCAGACCTGCCATGATCCTACAGATGGTGATGGGGAGCCACCAGACCCTCCACAACCCTACAAATGGTGATGGGGAGCAGCCCCCAGAGAGACTCACAGCAGGAGAATGGGAAGAGTTTACGGGTACCCCTAATAACCTTTCCTAAAGCACAATTTTCCGCAGAGGTCAGTATACATTTGGGCCAAAGAAACTCATGACCTTTGTGAAGAGCTACTGCCAAACCCTTAACATTAAGGTGCAGGTGTGCCATGTGTGCAGACAGACCCCTTCCATAGAAAACCCAAATGATCAGAGCTCACCCCCTGCTTTTCTAAAAAGAAAAGGGGTGGGGGGAAATGTGAATTTGCCTTACACTCCAGGACAGAAATACAGGCACAGTTTTTCCTCCCAGTCTTTTTTAATAAAACCACCTCATCCATTTCATAAAAGAAACTCATTTTAAAATAGCACTACTTTTGCATTAAAATGTTTCCCCTTCATAAAACACCACTGCTACATTTTTAATATAATAGCAGTTCCGACTCCCTAGAAATATGTTGTAGCTTATATTTAAAGGGATCTTTAAAATGTTTCCAAGACACAGCTGTTATTCAGAGGTAACAAAAAATGCCTTCCTTCTAAATTACAACTGTTAGCCCCTTTTCAGTCAGGATTATACAAACCATCTGTGCCCAAACTACAGAAGATGGACGTGTGGTGTGCAAGCTATAGAAAGTTTGATTTCCTCTCTGGGTGTTCCCAGATCAATTCCTGGCATGCCCACCCAGGTTGCTGAAGGTAATCACACCACTACTTTCACATGTCTTTATAACAGCCCAACAAGCAGCCCCGAAATTCAAATTCCAGATCACACACAGAGAGGCCAGACAAGCGAAGAGTTTCAGGTCCTGATCCTGCAGTCAGCTTCCTGTGCCCAGATCCATGCACAAACTTTAATGGGGTATTATGCTGACAAGCACTGGCAAACACATACACATTTGGCTGGAAATCACGGCCTATTCTTTTCTTTCCTAAGAAGCAGGACGTTTCATTAACTAAAAGCAAGTCATTAAGAAAAAAAGAAAAAAAAAAAAAAGAAATGGGAAATCCAAATATAATTTTATTCATTTTCAAATAGTGCTGCAATCACTCAGATGCACTGCAAAACACTGGCACAAAATAAATGTTAAAATAAGAGACTTACCCTCTGCTGCCAGCTGGCTGCAAACCTCGTCTGCTGACAGCAATATCAGAAGCTGGTTGTATCTTTGCACTTGCTGATGGTCAACCCACGTGTCCAAGACAATTCTAGCTATTGTCATGGAACTGCTGTTCCCTATGAGCCTTAGGCTGCTTAATACAATATTTCTCATTCACATATTTGGTGTTTCAACTCCTCCAGCCTTCTAAGCAATAGCCCCTTTGCATTCACCCTGGTTGTATGCACTTTGTTCTAGTGAAACCTTCTTCCTCTGGAACTAAATCCCCTGTTATTGTCCCCAGCCCACACACCTCTGCAGGCATTCTTGGCTTCAACTCATGTTTCTGCACAACCTGCACCAAACTCCCTTTCTGTTAATGCCATTTTAGCCCTCCCCTAACCTTCTAGCTCACATTTTTCCTATGCATTTCCCTTCTAGATCTCATGCTGTCCCACATTCTTTCTTCCTTCAGGCTTTGTGCTGGGAAGGTGTGTGGGGGGAATGCTTAGCTTATATAGCACAGCTACTGTGCAGGGTGAAAGGTGGGAACCCCTTAAGGAAGTTAAGTTTCTGAGAGTTTTGGCACATTTAATACCTTTGTGACAAAACCTGAAAGAGCAATAAAAATGAAAGCCTGCAGGTCTATGGTGTGAGCTGTAAAGATGCAGCCTTCACAATCACAGCCTGGAAATTGGGCTGTGAAGGCAGTGAGAACACAGCAGTGTCACTCACGAGACACTTCATCGAGCCAGCAAGGCTGCCAGAATGGCTTTCCTTGTTGGCAGAGTCCAAAGGAGCACGAAAACATTAATCAAAGCAAAAATAAATCAGGCTACTTTTAATTTTAAACCCCGCCATGCTGGACTCCTGTTCAGCTTTGGCAACACACAGGCTTCAGGAGCATCTTAGTTCATCCAAACCATGGAATACTTTTTCTGAAGCCACTGCAGAACCGTGTGCTCACGGCCCAAAGGGTGGTTGTTGTCTGCACAGCGATCCTTTCCAGAAGGAAAGGGAAGCAATACGTTATTAGCAGAGCCAATTTGCTGCCTGTCTGTAGAAGGAACTGTCACAAACACGCTGTAGCATAGTAAATCCAGCCAATTTGCACCTGTAGTTGTAGCAAAACATACCACAGGAAAAAAAAAAGCACCGTCAGCAAGCTGACACCTCTCCCCAACATTTATCTGTCCCCTTGCTCAAAAGTTCACTGACCTTGCTCACATCCCTCCTCTCTGGGGAGTTTGCACAACCGCTGTCCAGCCTCGTGGCTCACCCACTGGGGACGGTCTCTGCAAAAAGAAGGAATCTACAGTCAGCCCTTCCCTCATCCTGCCAGGGAAAAGAGGGCAGATTGAACCTTAGAATACAAGTAAATGCATGGATGCTTCTTTCCAGATCTTTCCTTCTTTCCAGTTTTTAAAAGGAGCAGGGCAGAGCTGGATATTCTAATACTTATTTATTTTCCTCATGGGCACAACATGAGGCATAAAGAGGTGAAGTAATTTGCCTACGGCAGCAGAGCAAGTCAGCAGCAGAGTGAGCGTGTAGCTGTGACAGCCAGACGAGCCCACCTGACTACGCCACCTCTTGCTCCAGCTGCAGCACATTTACATCCCAGCATCATTAGTTTGTTGTCTTTACACAGGCTAAATTTACACAGCAGCAAAAAGAAAGGAAAATGTGTAGAGAAAGGGACATAACATTGGCTCCGTGGGGATTCTGTATTAACCAGGCAGGGATATGGCATTTATCAGATGCAGATAAGCATTCGAGGAACGAGGGGAGAAGTATTCATTAGCTGGTGATATGTATTTCCATGCAGCAGATTTTTCTTCCCTTCTGATCAGCAAATCACACCTTTTGCAGCAGGATTAGTTGATGCCTTTAATGATAGTATAAGAAGATTATATTTCCCCTTTCTCTTCACAATTCGAAGCTCTTAAACACAGAGGAGCAGCTTCCTTGCAATATCACCACGGAATTACCACTCTCCTCACATAAACAGCCAGAGAGGCCATCAGAGTGGAGCAGGGGTATTTGCCTTGAACATATTCGCACAACAGCTCAGCAAGAGAAAATAGCAGCCGCAGATGAACCCTTCAGATCGCATCGCCGCTGAGGGCCTGTCAATTGCCATTTGTCCTGATCCACTGGCAGTGCTCAGGAGATGAACTGATGCTCTTGGCTTTCTGGTGGAGACCTGAGATGCGATTGCATCCAAACACGGAGCCACACGGCCCCTTTGGATGCTTCGAGGCCATCTGAGCTGCGGCCAAAGCTGAGGGAAACGGCATTGGTCATGGGAACTGGTATGCAGGGGAAAATATTCCGCATTTCTCGTGTGAAAGGGTTTGCAGCTTTAAGCACTGGCATCCAGGGGATGTTTATAGTGCAAGATGCAAATGAAGGAACATGTCTCCGAGACAGAAAACTCTAATTAGCAAATAGTCCATCCAGGCCCAGTTAACCATTTAGATTGCCTGGCAGCACCGAGCAGGTCTTGGAAGCAGCCGTGGCGTTTTCTGATGGCAGGAGGCCTGGCCTTTCAAAGCTTAGGCGCAGCGAGGTTGAAAGCAAGCCAACGAGAGGGAAGCAGAAACCAAAGGTGCATACAGAATAAAAATGTGTTACAGGAAAACAGAAGAGTAAAAATAAAAAGCTTTCCATGAATTAAATGATTCAGCTCAGTAACTGCAGTCCCGTTAAACTTCTCCCAGGCTCTAATCCTGTTACTCAGAACAGGGAAGCATTGCTTTTTGATTAGTTTGGGCATCCACCGTTAGGGATTCCTAATCCATCCCCCATTTATCACTTACCTTGCCAGGGAAAGGCAGGGTGGCACAAAGAGCCAGTGTTCTCTTCATGTAGGCATCGTTAATGAAAACCTTTCCTGAGCAATAAAGTGCTGATTGGAGAAAGCTGTCACAGAATTTCTTTCCTTAGGAAAAGCCTCAAAGGCAAAGTGGTGGTGGCACCATCTATAGCTCCTGAAGCATCCAACCCTTTCCATCACTCACTAATAAGGACATCAAAAATACCAAGAAGACAGTTGAGAATGGGAAACGTAACAGAGAGACAAAGACTATTTTTTCCCTACATTTTGAACCTGCTTTTACAATCCCTCATAAGAGACATTGTTCTCTATTAAAGCCTAGAGGGTGATTTGCAGGTACAGAAAGGACCTAATCTCTACAGAACTACCTTGTTTTTGGAGTTACTTCTGAAGAACCCTTTTTAATTCTAAAGAATTCTTTCAGTTTCATCCTTCTGAAGTTCCACAGGCCTCTCTCAGGCCATCGGTATAGATTTGTAAGGCTGACAAACAGCATTTAAAAAAACAACAGCACAGTAGGACAGAAACAAATCTGAGTACTGGCACCGTCAGTGTGGCTGTTTCCCTGCTGAGCAACAGTGATGCTGTTTGCTACACTGCACACCAGCCCCTGAGCCTAGGAGAGGCCAACAGGCAGCACTGCCGCTTTTCTATCTGTACAACTCCAGAATTTAGAGAAATTCACTAAAGGAACCTGAGGGAAGGTCTTCCTGGGTAGAGAGTACACAGGCACTCTGTAAAACAAAAGGGAGGCTGAGCGTGGTTTGATGTTTACTGTTTGCATACTGCTCACAGTGTCCGAAGTGCTTTGCAGACATGCACAAAGACAGTGCTGCAGTCCTGAAACACTACAGCAAATCGGGATGTAAAGGAACAAAGGGTTACGTTTCCTCTTTCCTGCATGCCTGCATCAATCTGGGGCTTTGATTTCGCTGCCTGTCTGGACACTGGGATTTCAGAGCCGTGACTATTTACTCTGACAAATTATAAGACACTGATCAGCCCCCGAGTTTTCTTGGAGCTACAGGTAAAAAAATAATTGTTTCTACCAGAGCGTCTGGAATAAACCCAAGCTCAACAAAGAAATATCATTTCTGGGAAGCCAGACTGGTTTATTTGTCTTCATATCATCCGTCTTCCTTGTTGCTGTACCTCCACCCATGTGTTTCTGCTGCTCCCTGAGCCAGTGGAATGAATAAAAATCCCAGGCTGAGCCTTTATTAGCATGTGTAATGCAAGTCAAGCTGCTTTGAATGTCCTCTTGTTGGGTATTAATGCAGCATGCCATTTGTTACACAAGTATTTTGCTGTGGCAGACAGAAAGTGACATTTATGGGACTATCATGAGAATGAATTTCACCATCCATTAAAATGATGTACAGGTAAACACTCCATTCATTCTAAATCTATGAGCTTTGGTTCTTTCTCTGCTCTGGTAGATGGGTCCATCAATACAGCTACTATTAGCCAAACTATTTGCTGGGAAGTGAGAACTGCTGAAAAATGTTACAGGCCTGTAATTAAAGGGATTGTAGCTTGAAGGGAGAGCACAAGAATTAAAGTTATTAGTGAACTCTCCTCTTATAGATCCGCATGTGTGCAGCAGCTGGGATGCATTGGCAGAGCTGTGCTGCTGGAAAAGCCTTGTCTCGTTCAGACACAAGGAAACGCAGCTCCTGGCTCGGTCATCTACAAGCACTGAACCCAGGACCAGCAGGTCTTCAAGATAAAAAGGAGGGTAATGTCTGCAAAAGCTATAAATCTGATTTATGTACGACTATGTGGGGTACAGACACTAGAAAAGAGAAGTCAGTGTAAGCTATTGACAGTGGTTCCTTGGCTACTGGCTGGAGCTGTTGCACAGTAGGGCAGGTTGGTGATAATCAGTCACCGGGTCCCATCCAGGACGTGGCCACAGCTGAAGGTCAAGATCTTAAAACAACATGGGAGGAAGGTTCAGAATCCCCTGCTAGGGAGGCTATTATATAAATGTACGTTTTGCTCTGAGAAATGTACAAGGTAGAGAGAAAACATGCTATAAATGTAAGCCACATCATTGGGAAAATGAAGTACAGTTGTTTATCCACTGTAATTGTAGAAATTAAGGTAATAACAATTACAATTAAGTGACTCATATGTACTACTGTGCAATTAATTTAGGCTTAGAGGGAATGTTATTGTGTATTAAATAAAAGCCAAATGATGATATATCAAGTTGTCTCTATGATTCAGCCCATGCATTGCTCATCTGGACCCAGCACCAGGCCATCTGCAGCGCAACGTGACGTTGGAGGAAGCCGTACGTATGGAAGAGGCCACGCTCCCTGCGATGGAACATTAAGCCACGTCTCTGACGACCTTTGATGCTTTTTGTAAAGTGAAGTTGTTCACCCACCTTTCTTAGGCAAATACTAGAGCTAGAAGAGTTGTGTTTGTTCTGTTTGAGCTTCAGTCATATTCATTTGCCATTCCTGTTCTTTCTGAGCGTGTTCCTAATCTCCTTTTTAATAGTTCCAAGCAAAATGTCTGTGCAATGTCAGATTTCCTATGTATAAATCCAATCTGGAGGTCCTTTGTTGTGTATATTACACGGTATTATTTAGGCAGACTCCTCAGGACTGAATTATACAAGGATCTCACGTCCTGGTCCAGCATGAGCAATGTCACTAATTCAGCACAACATGAAGCCAGGAGCCCTCTGTAAGATCAGAGTCATGCACAGGCTCCCCCTGCACCCACAGACAGGCAGAAATTATGCAGAAGCTTCAAAAGAAGAGCTAGTTATCTCGGCTGTTTATTGACAGTGAAACATCACAGTGACAATCACAGGAGCTATGTTCTTAAGATAAATTGCCTGAGTTCCCCACACACTTGTTGCATTTATGTGAATGCTTTTCCTGCAGGGAAGCCACAAAGAGGTTTTGCGAATGTTTTGAGTCACTGCATCTCTAATCCCCTTCGTCAGCTTTTAACTATTAGTTTGGTGACACTCACAATAAAAATATGGTTGTGCTCACAGCAAAATGTGTGTCTAGCCCACACAAATCAAAGGAGAGAAAAGACATTCATATCTCCTTCTGAATTGAAATTCTTACATTTCCACTGTCTAAACATTTCTAGCCTGAGTTTATGACTTACCACCTGTGGTCTCCTACTCATCCAATAAGAAGTAGGGAATTCAGAAGTATGGCATGAAAACTTTTAAGAAAGAAGCATCTTTCTTTTCAAGATAATATTGTTAGACTAAGTGAAAAAAAGGGTATGGAAAAATCAATGCAAAAATTATTTCCAAGTAGGATATTTAATAAAATTATCCCAGAGACATCAGCAGGTCTCATATCCCTGTAAATATGTTTCCTGTAATCAGCTAGTATGTAATTAACACCCAGTAACTACCTGACAGAGGCTATATGGATTCTTTAAGACACTTCATTTAGAAAGCGTGGCTGAATTGTA